CAGGAAAAGGAGGTGACCTCTAGTATCAGAGAGGCAGTATTTGAGCTTGCAAGTTTGAACTTAATTTTGATTTTTTTTCCCTCCTCTTCCTAGTACGGTGTCCTTATGTGACATAGGGGTGTAGTGGTTGTGCTGTTGTCTTTCCTACAGAAGCTCATTACCCTTGATTACTTTTTACTTCCATCGCTGATGTGTGATACCTGGTGTCACACAGACGCTTCCTGTGTATAGACGAGTTTGTAGTGACAATTTGTATGCAAAATATGCTTGCTGTGTTGAGGTGTTACAAGACAAAAATCACTGCCACTGTAAAACCTTTCCTGTTTTGGTACCTTTAAAATAAAACAAGATAAAACCATTTTCTTTAAAGAAGTCTGTGCTGTCAGGAAGCAAATTTCACTATTACTATTAATTTTAATTTTGCTGAAGTCTGTGGGCCTACCCTGTACGTAAAAAACGAAGTAAAATTAATTTCTTGCTTTTATAAAGGACTTTGAAAATGCTGGCCACCAGATCACAGGATGAGGCAGGAATTCCTGTGAAGCCTGAAACTTTTTCCTAAAATGTGTGGGAAGCAATCCTGCACCTCACATGTTTGCTTGGATCTAAATGATCCAGTCAAGTCTGTGTGGTTAAGTATAATTTTCTTTGAATCCTGAGTGTTTCCTGGCTGTGCTCACAACCTGTTTGAATCCCCACACCAGGTGATACCTTTTGCTGATGCCTCGGAAAATTGTAAACTGGTAAATATGATTGGGATATGTACTACTTTCCCAAAACCAGATGGTTTAGTTCAGGTAGTGCCAGTTGAATATATAATTACATGTACAAACTCACCCAGGTCACTGTGATTGTGATACTAAAGATCCGTGGCCTGAAGATGGTGTTTGTTGCTGTGTGCATGTGAACATCTTCTAAAGTGGTGTCTTCTCCATGGCAGGGCTTACTGGATGTTACTGGGCTGCCTGGGTTTCTCCTAGTGATGCTCAGCAGTGCCATCAAGCAGCAGGAAGAGTTTACTTACCTTGCTGCTTGTTTATTGCTAGAAACTGATAATCTTGTTGAGAATGTACTAATGGTTCTCATAGACCAGAGGGTATTTTACCCCTCCATCCCAAATGAATCTCTCTTCTGTTTTTACATGTTCTAGGAAACACTGTCTTTCAGGAGCTTCTTTTCCAATCTGAAAAAGTGTAATTTTTATTTTCCCAGTTCTCGGTAGACAAAATTGCAGAGTGGAGAATGTGTGGGATCTTTTCCTTTTCTTTTCTGAAAGGTTGTTTTCTCCTGGATCCTCCCATAGGTACTTTGTTAAAATTAAACGTAATGTGTTGAAAGGGATCAGTTTAAATGCATTTTAGACTTTTTTTTTTTGTGTCCCAAATGGTAAGCTCCTAAAATCTCTCTCTCTCTGTGTGTGTGTGTGCGCGTGTGTATACACACCTAGATTTGGCAACAAGGCAGCCTGTATTCCTTGGGTCACGGTTTTCAGAGAGAATTAGAACTTTTATTTGTGATCAGTGCAGTGAAGGAGCTTCACTCTGTCAGTGCTTGCTCTTGTTGCTAGTGCTGAAAAACAGTTTGAATACTACCAGTGCCGCTCTATGGATTAATGAAAGGACGGATGTTTTAGTGTGAGGTTTCCATTTTTATATTAATTCATTAACCAAATGTCATTTTCACAGGGATTATAGAGCAAACTCAATACCATAGCTGGTTGTAGCATTTCTTTTGTGCCACCTTATGAATCTTGACTCTGGCATTTTCTGCCAAAGTGTTATTATAATGTATCTCCTGTCTTCACAGCACAAAAAAATAGGCAGATGGCTTTTTCCACATCTCTCACTTTTCTTTCCTGCCCAAGTTAAGGAAAGAAAGCCACTGCTAAGCTTTGCCCCAGGTACCTGGAAATGGGCTGCTATTTTTTGTATCCCCCCACTATACCCTGTCTATGAATCCATCCTTGGGATGTAGCAGTAGTATTACTTCTCTTGAGTGTAAGAACACCATTTCACTGGTGGGGGGGGGGTGTGTGTTTTGGGGTGATATTCTGCTGTAGTTCCTTCTCGCTAGGTGTTTCTGTTGCGTGAACTGAAATTTTGCAGATGTTGCCTCGTCCTGAGGATGGCAAAATTCAATTCTGTATTCTTGTTGTATGAATACAGGGGAGTGGGCTGTAGTTAGTTTTTAAGCATTAAACTTTGTTTTGGTGGGAAAAAGAATGACTTGAGCGTTGAAAGCTTTGCTGAACATCTGAAGGTCTTGCTTGGTTTGCCACTGTTTTTGATCCTGGCAACTTGTAGAAATTAGGTAACTCTGTGGAATTTGTTTGAGGACTTTGTGTGGTTTTTATAACTCGAAAGGAAGAACCCCCCCCACCCCCCAAAAAAACCCCAAAACCCTGTAAGAATGCTTTAAAACCTAACTGCTTAGAAATTAGGGGAAAAATTAACCAGAATTAAAAGCTGTATGTCTACATTTATAGTTTAAATCCTGGAGCAATTACAGTAATCACTTGATCTGTATTATAGAAGTCCCCAGCATCTTTGGATAGTGGGAGGTGGGTCACGTTGTGTTGGGTTACGATTATTTAGTACCTAAGAACTCTCTAGTCAATTGGTGTCCAATATTTGCAGGAAAGAATACATCCTCATTGCAAGCAGTCAGCTGGACAAGTTTAGAAGTTGGGGGTTTTTTTGGTTTGTGGTTTTCTTTTTTGTTTGTTTTTTTAAAGTGCAAAAAGTCCTTGTCTCGTATAGAACTAGAAAACTGCGTTGTCTGTAGTTGCTGGCGGGGTGTTCTAGCTTTATACCATTTGTTTTTAATTACTCTGCATGTTTTTAGCACTGAAACAAGAGACCACCTTTGAGACGAAGTCTAACATTTTTAAAGTATATATGAAAGTGTGAGTTTGTTCTTTCTGAAACTTACGTTGCAAAGCAATTTATGGGGGAGGAAAGAATGCTGATACTTTATCTAAAAAAGCCAATCTGCATAATCTGAAGTTGTCTTAGGATATTCAGCTGTAGGTGAAGAGCTGTCTCTGCTGTCAGCTCACTGCACAGTAAATTAGTCTGATATACAGGAAAATTTGCAGGCATCTTAAAACTTAATTTGTTTGATGTGTCTATCTTGAAGCATTTCCTACTGAAAAGTTTTGGAGGAATTGTTTTGGCTGCTGTTTCTACCAATATCCTTACCTCCTCTTCTAGTCCTAAGGAGTTTGAGCACAGCTCAGACAAACTCAACAGCTTCCAAGAGCATGGCTCCACATGAGTTTTCAGCAGTGGAGCTGCTTTAGGGACTTCCCACACAGCACCACAGTTAGTCTCAGGTTGATGCAACAGTTGTTAGGACTGTGCTGTAAAATGGATTACCATCTAAATTGAAGAACAGAAAGGAGGGGCACTGTTTCCCCCACTGCTGCATTTTAGAAGCTCACTGGCAGAGTTGTAGGTAGTTGCCAAGAGCACGTGGGACAGAGAGAGAGTGCATGTGGTTCCATGCCCTTTTTGTCTTCAGTCTCTGATGTTGTTATATAAATCAGGTTACTCATCAGAAAATTTAATGCTTAGGAAGCAACAGCAACTTTGGGAATCTAATTATGGTAGTATTAAGTTTTCCAATATCTTTATGTGAGAGGAGTGCTTGAATGGAGGCCATACCACTGACTTTTACAGTCTTAGTTACTATTCAGGTTTCATTACATTGCTACTTTCCTATTTATTCTGTGGATGGTGATTTTCATACCTTTAATTACAAGGATGTAGCTGCATGAGCTCTGAAATTGTTCAGCCTATATTACATAGTATGTTATGTCTGCAAGCATTGAATTGGTTTTTTTGACTGGCTTTTAATCTTCTCCGATATCCTGAGCAGTAGGGCCTGTAGTGATAGGACAAGGGATAATGGTTTTAAACTAAAGGAGAATAGATTTAGGCTAGATGTAAAGAGGAGATTTTTTACGATGAGAGTGGTGAAACACTGGAACAGGTTGCCCTTTAGGTGTTAATATTGGGACACCTTCATACTGCTTAATGTGGCATTGGACACAATATCTGATTATTATTTGTCTTTTTTTTTTTCCCCCATCTGTTCAGGAAAAATATACTTCCCATGTATTCTTCTGTTTTGTTTTCAAGGATCAGTTACTCTATACTGGTAGGTTTGTAGCGACAGAAGTATATAAATGTCTTTTGATGCAGCTGGTGTTTACTTTCAGCGGTTGTTGGAAGGTTCTGCTTTAGTGCTTTATTGTTTTCAGCTGATGGTTTTCATTGAGGCATACCAACAGGCAGCTAATGAAGTTATGAAAAATTTGGTATATCTGGTGTGATTGTTGCATTAATAAAACAACATTACTTAAAGGAAAGTGGTGCTTAGGTTGAGGTTAAATGTCGGTTTGAGGACTCTTTAATTTATGCTTTTTAAAAAGGTGTTACTTCATATGGTAGTTTGTGTCAAAAATGAAGCTCTTTCTGTAGGCTGCCGTTGTATGTGTATTTTCAGTGGCATCAAGCTAAGCATGGCGGTATTGAAGCCACAAAGGTGATAGTAACACAAATGATGTAGTGACATCATTTCACCTTGACAAACAATTCACTTTGCAATATTAGTGTCCTGTTTTATTGTCACTGTACTTCAAATGCATGTTTTACTGCCTGACGCTAGGATGACCGAGCACTGGAATGGGTTGCTCAGAGAGATGGTGGAGTCTTTGTCCTTGGAGATACTCAGAAGCCACCTGGATGTGGTCCTGGGCAACTGGCTCTAGTGGCCCTGCTTGAGCAGGGATGTTGGACAAGATGACCTCCAGAGGTCCCTTCTCACCTCAACCACTCTGTGCTTCTGTGGTATCTATGTAAAGCAGCTAATGGACTGGTAAAATTAAGTGCTTCATAGAAATATTTTACTACTGTTTTGTAAAGAGTTTTCACTTCAAGTACAGGGACCTAATTGCTTGTGTAACCATTTTTTATTTTCTTTTCCCCCTCCCCTAGTGCTGACTTAAAGCTCTTGGAAGAAGCCACAATCTCAGTCTGCAAGTCTTTAGGTGAGAAATTGTGACATCTTAACTTTTTTCCATGTGCTTTATCAGAAGAATTAAGAAACAGCATACATGTGCACATCCATGTCTTTAGTATACTTAACTCTACTTGTATGTGTTCCACTAGTAAGATTAGTGTAAAGAGTGTGTTTATATATATCCTGGACTTCTAGAAACTTCCATTGTTAACTGTTTTATAGAACTGGAAATGACTGAAAGGTTTAAAACAAATAACTTGATCCTCACTACCTCTTTTTCCTTCTGCACTCTAAGCTGATCAGTAAGGGGAAAGAATTTATCAGAGGATGTAAGGAAGGGATAATGTAAATGTGATCAACAATTTTTCAAGAAGGTAAAAACTAGTTGTGAAAACCTGCCTAGGTTTCTGACAGGTGACTGTTGTGCTGTAGACAACTCTTGGAAAGGAAGAAGTAGTAAGAGCTCCACATTTGGGATATTTTAAATCTAGGATGAAAAGTATTGTTTAGAGAACAATTACAGAGTAGTAAAGCATGTACTGGAAAAATCTTAAAAGAAGAACAAAGCTGTACAGAAAAGTGGACATACTGTGCTTTACGTAGAAATATTTAAGACATTGAAATTTGGTTTCATTCTATGTATTGTTTGAACTAAATAGTGACAACTTATGTGTGCTATATAATTGTGTCTTATTTTTCCTCATCTAGTTGAGAAGAATCCTCGAACAGGAAACCTTGGGTCATTGATTAAAGTCTTTCTTTCTAGAACCAAAGAGTTAAAAATTTCAGCAGAATGTCAGAAGTAAGTACCTGGAAAAAAGCTGTGTGCGCCATTTCAGTTTTTAAATGTTCCTTTTGCTGCTAGCTCTTCGAGTTTTTTACTTTGCTAGTTAACATACCTACAGACCAAAACTTAGAATTCTCTTAAATTGTTGTTTGAAACAGAACAAGTATCTAGTACTTTGCCAAACACAGAAGATTAAGTGTAAAAGGTAAATGGATTGCTGTGGAAAAAGACACGTTTGTGTTCATCCTGTGTGTTACATAAACACATTTGTGTACAAATGGTGTAAGTTCTGCTTACTATGGATTTAGAGCCGTTTAAAAATCACCTGACCTTTGTAGCTAAATCTTAATGTATGAAACCGTATTTTATCTTGGAAATATTTTAAATTGGATTGGATTTGAACACAAACATCTGTATAAATACATTGCTTTCAAATCATATCATGCATCTGCTATTGGTTTTGCTTGCCCCTTCAGCAGTAGGAAATAACTCTTAAGAGGTTACGTGTGCAGCACTGTGTAGTTTTTCCAGGAAGCTTTCTGTAATTGTTCCCCCACACCCATAGACAAATGTCTAACTCTCATCAGATTTAGGGCTTCAAAAAGGAAGACTTTCTCTTTAATGTCCCCTTTCTCCCGGGGCTGCCCTCAACCTTTTTGCTTATATCTGGAGAAAGAAGTTATTCCTGCCTGGATAGCTCCTGCTGCTTTAATCCAAAAATACTTTGAAAATACAGCTTCAAGTAAGAGCTTGACTATATGCAGTTGTATGGGCTTCCCAGCAGTTGCTTATTGGGACTCACGAAAATGTAACGAAGCTATATTCCCCTTGCATTCAGAAAGCTTGGAAAATGTCTCTGTGTGTTGTTGCATAGAAGAATCTTGTTGTATTGTGCTTCTGAAGTCCGTAAATGCCTACGGTTATCTGAAAGCTATTTGCCTAGGAAAAGTGCTAAGGTTCAAGGAGCCAGAGTAGCTTTCATATCAAAGCTGTTGAAAATTTCCAAATGCCTGGGTGGCTTGAGTCTATAGTATCTAGAAACCTTTAGAAGTATGCTGAGCCACCTGGTGAGCTCTTAAAAAAACTGGTACTTCTGGCAACTGTGGTGTTTTTAACAATACAGACTTAGGAATAATTAGTTAGGAACAAAAGTTAGGAATTGTATTCTCTTGGGGGAAGAAAAAAAATACTTCTTTTAAACACATTTCCAGTTTGCTGTACCATCAACTGAAGACTCCCTGCTTAAGCACTTTGGCTTTTCCTTGCTTCAACTGTAGGAACCCCTTTGTCTACTCTGGCATGTATTTTCTTGTGGGTTTTGATGCATGTTTGCAGGTTAAGCATTACTGATTCTTGTTTGTTTCCGCTTCTTTTCTAGTCACCTCTTTATTTGGCAGGCTCACAATGCACTGTTTATTATTTGCTGTTTGCTGAAAGTATTCATCAGTCGAATGTCAGAAGAGGAGCTGCAACTTCATTTTACTTATGAAGACAAAGCACCAGGCTCATACGGTGGGTATACACTAGTGCTAGTGACACAAATATCCCACCAGAGACTAAAAAGTTCTGATGTTTGTAGATGTGGCACTTAGGACATGGTTTAGTGATGGACTTGGTAGTGTTAGGTTAATGGTTGGACTTGATGATCTTAAGTGTCTTTTCCAACCTAAATAATTCCATGATTTTATGTTTTGTTTAGACTACGAATCCCAAACTTTGCTTTAAAACTAGAAACAAAGTACTAGTGAGGTTACATACAACATGTTTACTGTTCAGGACAACATGTGAGATTGGAAGTATGTAGTCAACAACAAAACTGATTGACTTCCTTCAGGGTCTGAAGTAATTTGGTGTAAACCATCTTCCTTTGTATCATACATGTGAAAGAGAACACCTTCAAAATGTGATGAGAGCTTTTCATTACGTATTGACTGTCATCTTCTGCTAGAATTAAATGTTTGTTAACAAACTGTTGACATGTTACAGGTTCTTACAGCAAAATAGACCTCCTAGAGCAGTGTTTAAGTTGTTTGGTTTATTTTTTCTTTAAACATTTGTATTAAGTTTAACATGATCATTTATTTACAAACTTAATTTGGCATTTTTTTAAAGAGTTGTTCAGAAGTGCTGCTGTAGACCTACCTTTAGCTTTAGTTATTTTCATACAGTTTGAAAGGTGGTAACGGTTCTCTTTCAGAAGAGCAGAAAAGAGTTGGGGTGAAGCTGACCGCATACTACTGTAGCAACAGTGATGTTGCAATTATTTAGTGTTTCTTCTCACATATGTTTCATAAACTGGCAGCAGCCGGGGAGTGAATTGAATGCAAATTTTAGGAATCTAGTGAGGGAAGATAACGGTACTATGGTTAGAACTGATCTATTGAAAAGGCAACTGCTAAAATGTAATTAGTGGGCAGTAGTTTATACAAGAGTACGGGAAAACTTGAAAGAATTTAAGCAGAATATTCAAATATAAGTGCATCTCCAGGAAATGGAGCATGTATTATGCAAGATGAAAGATGGCAGGGAAGATGCTCAAATAATCTAGCTGTTCTCTTTCTGCTATCTGGTCCTTCTTTTTGAATGTGAATAATGTGAATGCATTCAAAATCAGTTTGATTACAGCAAAAAGAAAGTCATAACACTGCCACAAATCTTTGTGTAGTGCTGTATCAAGATGCTCTTACAGAACACGTGATGGATAATGCTGGCACAGGAGCCCTGATGAGCCCTTTGCTTTGTCGTAAAGATACTGTTGAGTTTGTAATTGCACGTTGTTTATAGCATAGAGCCAAAAATGGTCTGGCAAAAAGGAATGGTACCAGAATGCTAATACAGTGCAAGTGAAGTGTGGAAGAACAACCAAAAGTACCTGAGTGTGGATTTCCCTCAACAGTCTGTCCAGCAAGGACACGTGTTGAGAATGCCTAATAGCTGCTTGCTCACTGAATGGTGAGAACTGTTCATTAAAATCTGTTTAACTCCTTGGCACCTGCTGTTGCTCTGGGGAAATCAGACTTCTGATGTCAAAAGATTAAGTGCTACATTTTGAAATGGTTTAATGTATTTTAAACTGTGATGAGTAATCTCCAAGAATGAAGTCAGCTAACCAATGCATTAGAAATAACACCTGCTTATAATAAGCTATCACTGCAGACTGCCTATGGGTTTATACTTCACTTAAAAAAATGGCCCACCTCTTGCTTCAGTGGTATAGTGTAGCACAGTAGAATGGGTGGAAAAGCTGAGACGTTTTGTTAGCTTGAACCCCTGTGATTTTTATTGCCTATGCTGGGAGTTCCTCACAGCGTGGTATGAAAAGTGATTCTTGTCACTGGGGTAGATCCATGTTTATACCATGTCTAGTAGCACTTGACTATAATTCACAGTGACATTTATTAGTGATAATTTTGTGCATATTGATGGCAAATGTACTTAGCAATTATCTTTGAGCAGATTGTTTGCTGGATGTTCTTGATTAGGGAGGTAATTGCGTGTGGTCTGCTGATGAGAGCAGGGGATGGAGGCAGGAAATGAACTCCTCCTTCGCTTGCCCCGCTCAGCCGTGGCTCGAGTCCGCTGCCGCTTTTGGCTCGGGTTTCCGATTTGAGAGGGTTCTTGTGACCTTCCTCAAGGTATTGAGGTTCATAACGTGCTGTGTTTACATAGCCATTTTTTTTTGGTTCTTACCAAATCGTCACACAGGTTTTTTTAAATATATATAGAGCGTGGCAATGGGGTGAATGCCTTCCTATAGCTTTTATGCTTAGCTATAGGAAAAGTGCAGTATCAATAATGGAGTGTAATAAACTGCTGTTGTGTTAGGGCCATTAAAGTGAGCAGAAGAAATGAAATGGTTTTTTGTTAGTATTTTTATAATTAAGTCAAGTGTAGTTTTCTTGAATCATTATTTTTCATTCTTTGGGAACTAGAGCATGCCTTGTTATTGTGAAGTTTACACAGATTCATTAGTATTTTTACTAAAGTTTTATATACTTAATGGTATCTTTGGTGAACATGCTTTTAAAAAAATTAAGTTCTTAGTTGTCCTTGCTGTCTTTTCATTTACCAGAGCTTGATATTATTTTAATATTCTTCAATTGTGAGTGTGATAAAACAAACCTTATAAAATACATTATTACATTAATTATATAATGTAAATAAAATATCCATATAGATGAAAGCTTTAATATGGTGTCTGACTTTTGAAGTACTGTTTGCTTATTTTCTTAATGGCTGGTGAGCAGTTACTGGAAAGAGCAGTACAACCAACCAACAGCACAAACAACCCCTCTCTCCTACGATCTGTTTTTGTATGCTTTGTTCAATCTTACAGCCTTCTGAGAAAAGGTAACCATTTTTTTCAGGATCATCTGAAAACTCCTTTGGAAATCAGTGTGTGGTGGTGTTTGTTTCTCTGTTTAAACTATGAGTATCCCTTTTTTTTTTTTCCTTCTAGTTGGAGAATATATCCCAGTACCATGTTCTGTGAGTTTAAAATACAGCACATCAGGCTGCTCACATTGTAGTCAGTCAGAGCATCAGCACCTGCCGTGTGATATTTGGTATGTCAGGCAGAAGTGTGTACTGTATAATAGTAATGATGTATGGAAAATATCCTTGTCACTGGCTATTCAGCAATATGTCTTGTATTTTGACAGGTTATATACAACATAGCCACTATTGTTTAGTTAACATTTTTTATAATTGTCTTATCTGGAAGAATTCTCCTCCCAGGTTTTACAATTCATATGCTTTCACTTTTTCTGAATGTCCAACTTGTGCTTTTTCCTTCTAGGCTATGTTTTAAGCTCGGAAGAAAGCTGTGCAATTGTGCTTTGTGTCATAAAATGTAATTGAGTTTTTTCATTTTTCAAAAAGTTTGAGTGCATGGATATGTTGTAGCCTACCGTTATAAAACTGTAATGAATAAATTGCACAGGATCGAGTCCCTGCTAACAGCACTGTTTACTGTTTTCCTTCACAGTAGTCAGACCATTAGTAGAAGTTTGTTCTTTTGACAGTTTTCAGATGGTTCTTTGGCCCAGGAAGTGCAACCTTTGCCTCTTCATCCATAATTGGGAATTTGCGTATAACTTTGGAGGATATTGCACAATTCTGATTGTAGGAAAATCCTTATAGATTTAGCTGCAAAATCCTGATATTAATAAATCCTAAACTGGACTTGGCATATGCTGATCTGAAGCTGGAGTTAGTCTTGCTAACACAAATCCTTCATCTTTCAATGAGGCTTCCACTGTCTGTATCCCATAATTTCTGCATGTTCTTTAACTGTGTTGTGATTCAGAGGTGTAAGAGAGCACATGCTGTGTATTGTATTCTAAGTCAAACCATCAATTCATTTAACCCGTTTCCTGACCTGTAGTAGGGAACTTTATTCATTCTCTATAGAGAAGTTTTTATCACAAGGCTGCTAAGGACTGTATTTGGTGTATTATAGCAAATAAGAGCACATAAAGGAGGGAATAAATAACAATACTTTTACTGCAACCCTTAAATGATTTCATGAGTGTTCAGCTATCATATAAAGGAAATGAGGGATGGCAGTTAGTTTATGTACTCATTATTAACACTGTTAAGTGAAAGTTGGGAGCTTTTGAGAGTCCTCAGAGCTGAAGATCAAACCACAAAACCCAAAGAATCTTTAAGTCTGCTGGTTTTGTAATTAATTGAAAGGGTGAGGCTTTTAGGTACTGTTCTACAAGTAATGAATTATTTCATTACTGATGTCCAGGGTCTATCCTACCTGTAGGAACAACAGGGCAGAAAAACGAGTAACATCTAAGATGAGGCTATGCCTTGCTATGCCTGAATATCTTGTTGACATCAGACACATCCAGCTGCTACAGCAGCTCAGATCAGGTCGTGACAACATAGTAGTTAGGTTCTTGAGAAGAAAGATTGTTTTACTGTCTATGTTAGACCCTGTATCATGGCCAGTGAGGGAGCTGGGCTGGTTTAACTGGAAGCGGAGTCTCCTGGCATGTATGCTTTCCTTTGGATAAGCCATTTTGCCTGTGTACTGTCTGCTAATCCAGTGTGTGTAATGTGCGTAGCTTTGAAATGTTAAAAAAAAAAAAAATTATTTATGTTAAAAAAACCAAAAACCAAAGCACAACACCCCAAAAAACCCCCAAACAAGCCCCACCAAAAAGCCAGAAACCCCACAATGCAAGTAATCCACATGTTCGAGGACTTAAACATGGCTGATGAAAAATGGTGCCGCATCATAACTGTTTTAAAAACTGTGTGTGTTTGCAGTGTGATAGAGCTTAGAAGATGCACCTATGATTCCTCTTTCTGCAAGTCTGCTCTAATCTTATCTGGACAGATTCACCCTTTACTTATTTTCCCCAGGGCTTTACATGTGTCTTTGATCCAAGTATGTGATCTATTAATGTGAATGAGTATTGTGTGTATTGTCTTTATCCTGCTATTGAAAAAGGCATTGTTTATGAAAACACATAGTGTTCCGTGTTTATAGCTTTCTCTCACGTTATAGATTTGGCATGCATCCGCCTCATTGTCTCGGCAAGACAAGAATTAAACAAGAATGCATGTGCCCCAATGGGGAAAAGGATACATTAATTATTGCAACTGAATCACATTGATTACAGCAATTAAGCTTTTTTTAAAAAAAGAAAAATAGTTTGAGAACAGCAGTAAAGACTAACATCTTCCATTCTACATGATTGTGCTAACCCAATATTTTCTTGCTTTATTTTGAGTATAGTGTGTGGGGAGAAAAGCCCTCTTTCATACTCAAATGTTATTTAACATTATTCTCTCTTCAAATGAGTTGTGTATATAGCATGGTGGAAGAAATTATATTCTTAAGATGCACTCGCCTTACTTTTTTCATCCTTTTTCTTCTCTCCTCCTCCCTTTCCTCAATTGTCAAGAGAAATAATTAGGAACCTTTTGGGAATTAACAGCAGTCTTGCTCTATAAGCATTTTCTAGATTCAAAAAAACCTTAGGAAACTGTCACGTTCCAGTTACATTAGAAGACATTATCTGGGCTTCATTATTGGCTGTGGTTTCTGTCTAAGGTTAAATAGTCCTAGCAGTTCTCAGTTTTTACTAACAGGAGCTACATTGTGTTACTCATGGGGGATTCTATATAAAGGAAACCACGTTTCCGTGATAAAAAACTGATTTCCTTTAGAATGTGCAGTTCACTAGGTGACAATTTTTAATGTGTTTTTAATAAACCGATTGTGGAAAGAAATAATTTTGCTTTATTGTGAATATTCCCTCTGGTGTGCTTCTTAAAATTGAGTCCTGGATTTAAGAACAAACTTGGGTTAAACAGAGTAACACCACCATAACCTGGCTATAACGTTGTGTTTATTGCAAGACTTATTTATTTGAAAATACAAAATAAACAAGCATTTGGGTAATCGTTGTGCTGCAGTGCTGTAATGCCTATCAGGTAATGCAGAGGGAAAAACTATGCCTGCTCTTAGGCCATTCAACACTGTAAAGCCCTATACTTCTTTGTGCTGTAGGTTTCTCTTTATAATTTTATTTTGAAAGCAGAAAAAATCCTGATGAGCCAAGAGATTTATCTTCTATTTTGTTAGTATTATATGACAACTTCAAATGGTTTAATAAGCTTTTTCCTCAGTATGTCTTGCAAGTCTTTTGTTACAGTTGCTTTTAAAAATTGTAGTGCTAATGTAAAATACCACCAGTTTTACTGAGAATAGTTGCATTTTTTAAAAATAATTTTTAATCATCTCATACATTTTGTCACATTGTGTATGAGTAGAGAATAATTTCCGCTCACTTAAAATGCACTCTGGAAATTCATGAATCCATACTTGTCATTGAACTGTAAAAACCTCTTAAATAAATAAATGCGCATCATGAAAAAACAGTGTGTAGATTTAATTGTGTAAGAGCAGCAGTGATGTGTATGGTAAGCTGCATTCATTTGACAGATCACAGTTTAGAATATTGTTCCGTGTATGTTAGACAGATGAAACTGTTTTCTATTTGTCTCTGCTTATTCATCACTTGGGATTAAAAAAAGGGGTGGGAAAATATGCGAAGTGCAGGGAATTTTGAGAGGAGACTTGAACTGTGGACCAGTTAGAAGTCACTAGTGATCAGTTCAACTGTTAGTAATAATGCCATTTAACATGACCTTGGGTAAATAGTAAAGTAAGGCTTGATGTGCTTAGTATTAGCATATTTGTACAATATCAACATCTCATTTAACTTATCCAATTGGTGTTAGTTATTTGTTTTATATATAAAAGGGTAAGCATCACCATTTTCTCTGGTGATAATCCCAAGTGCTTTCTATTTCAGGAAAGAATGCTATCTCCTTAAACTCTTCTAGTGTTTGTTCCTTAAGTAAAATACTTTTTGTCTGGATCCATGAGTTTAAATCTTTGCTTTCTTTTGGTATTTGAAAATCCAGAAAACCTTTGGTATGCTTCTTTTCAGGAACAGAGTGTGAAGACCTCATAGAAGAGTTGCTGTGTTGCCTCATCCAGCTCATTGTTGAAATTCCCCTCTTGTAAGTTGTTTTTTTTCTTTTTTCTTTTTTTTTTTTTCAGCCTCCTTCTATAAACTGAGCATTTCATAGAATATAAAACTTAGAGCGATGGGGTTATAATGTTTAAATACTTGTATTTGAATGCTCCATGTGATGGTGCAGTACTGATAATGATAACCTGTTGCCAGTACCAGCCCTGAGTATTCTGTTGGAAGTACATGATGAGCATCTCACACCCAGTTCAAACTATCAACAGAAATTATCCTGGTTTATTTTGTAGGAGTTTTGATGTTTGTTTCAGGTGCCTCTGTCGGCACACAGACAGCTACTGCTAACTTTTGGCTAGAAATGGTTGTGCTAATGGTACAGGGAAAGGTACATTGGAGGTGTCGCACCTGGGGGATGCAGCGAGGCGCAAACAAAAGTTCCCCTTTGCAGTTGTGTGGGTTTTTGAACTGCATGTCTATTACATAAGTCATATGACTTATTTAATACTGATTTCTGAAATACCAATGAAATGATGTCTGAAAAAGAGAGACGAGAAATGAGTAAGTGGAGAGTTTCTGTAGATCTCCAGATTTGTTATATGGCTTTTTTCATGCATCTGCTGTATTTGAGATTTGTTGATTCTACATCTCATTGGGATATGTGTCATGAAACATACTTCAGTATTACATGAAGGAGAACGAACTTTGTTCTTTGGAAGTAAAAAAGTTTTTCTACACCTGTCCTGATAAGTTTTAACTTTGTTTGTCCCCAAGATAAACTTTACCAAAGATAGTGTTAGCAGTATCATTTGTGTTAAATTGCATTGTAATCTGTGCCTAAAATGTAGTGCCCCAGTTAAAGCATCACAGCTTTGAGAGAGTTTCAGACTATCTATTATAGTGTAGTATATAGCTTTGCTGATGATTTAGTTTTTGTACTTTGGATTGTTCTTTTGGTTGGAAAGCTGACAAAGATGCAATAGTTTTTGAAACATTGCTCTCATTAAATACAACTCTGTCAACATTACATGAGGGTTTTGTGTAGGTAGTGTGTAATGAATTAGTGATATGATTTAGAGTGTCATTCTGCAAAGCTTGTCAGGACTTCCTGGAACAGATACACTTTTTGTTTGGAGCAGATTAGAGGAAGTACAAAGGGCTGAAAGGACTGCGATATATGGGCAAGTTCATAAATCCTGCAGGGTTTTATTTTTCTTTCTTGGAAGTCCAATGTGTGTGTGGAGTCCAATATCATTTATTCTGTCTTTCTGGCAGAAAAAGTTTTACAGGAATGATTGTTCTTAACCCTTTTCAACAACTGAACCTGTCAGCATCTCTATTTCTGTGTGAATGCGGTTGCTGGGAATGGAAGTAGCTGTTGAAAGCACTTAGTTTACTACATAATATAATGATAATAATGGGTTATTAAAAAAGGAGAAGTTATAAAGCTGGTCTATAATCTTTAATGTTCAGCTATATTGAAAACATACTCACTTTTCATGAGAGAGAGATGTGGAAGGTTTTTGGGTTTTTTTGTCAAATAAGTTTTCTGAGCTAAATTTTTCTTGAAAAAACATGCTACTGAATTTTGAATAAGATACTAACACATACAAAAGTGTACATTATTGTCTTGCTTACCAGTATAATATGTTTAACAATGTGATAATGCCTTAACTAATGATTGTATAATGATTATCATTGAAGGGGAAGTAGGGTAGGGGAAAGGAGGTATGAAAAAATTTGCTTTCTCTAATACACAATCCAACTCTGTTCTTCATAGAGATGTTATAAGGCTGAGACATTTTTGCTCACTGTAATATTAATTTTTTTCAGGAGAATGATCAGGTTTATTTTAGTAGTGAGTTTACTTCCCTCCTTCTCCCTGATCAGAGTTACACTGTAAATTCTTTCCCTACTTTGTATCAAGGGAGTAGTTAATTTCTGTCTTTAGCTGGAATAAATCAAGAAAATTACAAGCCTAGTACGTGAATTTTGGGAAGGAATAGATTGAGTGCAAAACATGAAATATTCAAACTTGTAATGATTTGCGTAGCAGGACTTAGGATCACTTGCCACAGGATAGGCAGCTTTGGCAGCTAACAGAGTGTCTGTCTGTAAAGCTGCTATTAAAGATGAATTTTTGTTGTGACAGACCATTAAAATCTCCATGCTGAGCCTGTCTTTGAAGCGTCGTTCAGAATAGCAAAGTTTTGTTAGGAGCATTCAATAGCCTTAACAGAGGATTGTCACAATTGGTGTGTCCCTTGGGTTCTGTAGATGCAGTTTCATGAAGGAGTGGATACAGCTGGCAGCTGCTGTCTAAATATATTGCTTCTCTATACCCCAGTTTAAGCTGCTTTTTTTCTCCTTCACCAAAATGCTAAGATTATTTTTACAGCATGGAAGACCATCTCCTTGTCCAAACTGCAGGAGCCGAGGCACCTGTATAACAGTCCTGCACTCTGCTTTTGAAGTTGTTCTAAATGTCATGTTAGGTGCTTTTTGGTGAAAGCAGTATGCTTCAGAGGTGCTATGATTTTTTTGCCCCCTCTCTTATATAATTTCAGATGTGCTGTCTTAATTTTTTTTTTCTTTTTTTGCAAATGTGTTACTGAAGAGTGGGCTGCATTGCTGGATGATGCTCTGTAGATACTGTTACAGAGTAGTGAGAAATTTGTGATTATAACATAGATCCTATTATTCTTCACTGTTGAGTATCATGTTGTGAAGATGTATATGAAAGACAACACATACTGTTGGGAGGAAAGCTTATGATACCTGCGTATGATATTTTGCAGGCAGGTACGTAATCTTCACCCATGTTCCAGACTGGCCAAAAGCAAGCGTAAGAGTTTGGGCTTGGCAGGGGCACAGAGTTCATGAAGGTTTGAGTCTTTCCTGAGCGTGGGCAGAGCTTGCTCTCACCTCTGAGCTTGCTCTACTTAGAAGCCTTGGCAGAATGAGCTCATGTCTGCCTACAAAATAACCTACAGACATACTTGGAAAACGCAGGTGGGCAGTCTAGCTCAAAATTAAGAAGTAAGGTGTGTGAGATGGGGAAGACGACAAACAGTTAAGTCTGTAACCCACCTCCTCATATCCCTTACTGTGAAATATAACTGAAGAACCAAAATGTGTTGATTTTTGTTGGGAAAGGCTGCAGAGATGTATGGCAAAGCATATCTAGGACTGTCTCAGAATTGTATATGATGAATTTAAGGAACGTATTTCTCAAAGCTAGTTTATATTGAGGAAGGCAAATGTGCTTTAAGGCGGTTACACTCAGCATAGCTAAAACAGGTTGTAGTAGAGACCATGGGACTCTGCAGCATTGTGGCTCTGTATCTGAAGAGTTATTAAAAAGATCTTGAATTCCCCTTTTGAAAAACAGGCTCTGCTGCATTGTACAAAATGCCAAGGAAAAGGTTTCACGTTTAATTTAAAGACATTTTATAGAAACTAGAGCATTATTGCTTTCCAAGAATTAGACTTGTTCAGTCCCTTATAACACTAGGGTTACAGTGTGTTGATATTTGATTTATGGCTCCCTTGGGTATGTTATGGATACTCTGCTTTTTCTTTGGTTTTGTTAATGTTAGCACTCAAGAGTGTACATTAATGATTAAAACCGCATAGTCAGCAAAAAGATGCAACTTCAGTATTTAATTGTATGATTTTTATGTAGAAACTATTGCTAACATTTAGTTGCAAGATAGAGCTCCCAAGGCTTTAAATTATGAAGGCTTCTTTCAGCAGCTTGTTAAGAGCTGGTATACATAACTGAACATCTGGTTGTTATCAGTACATTTTCACTTCATTAAAAACTACAAATACATATGGAGGAAAAATGAAATACTGTGTTCTTGTTACATCACTGTTAAGTAGCACCCTGTGGTGCCAGTAGAATTTAGTTGATATTTCTATTACATTCCATTATTTTTTGTAGTTACAATTGTTTTAGGTTGCAATCTTAGTTACTCCCAAATCTAAATGTTAACAGTGTTTTGACTCATTTAAGGATGCTCACTACATTTCCTGGGAGCTTAAAAGTCAAATGTAGGAGGAAGAAGGGTGATATAATTGATTATAAAGCTCTATGGAATCATTGCAATGTAGGAACGATGCCATGTACAGGTGATGAGAAATGTTTAGGCTTTTTTTCGTTGCTAATTGTGAGCAGTGAAGAGGTTAAGAACCGTTTACTCTCCTATTTCAGGAGGGTCGTATTTTTAATTTTTTTGTTACTTTAAAAACAATAAGTCAGAATAGTGCTTTTTTTAAAAGAGGACTATTTAAGGAACTTTTATCAAGATTGTAGTGGCTCCAGTATTTGAAGAGCTATTTGACTTCAGCTTTTTTGGCAACTTTGTCTAATCATCAAAGGGAAACTTCCATCTGTTGAAACTTAGGTTGAAGCTAGCAAAAATATCCAAACTGAAAGAGATTTGTATTGCTTCATTTTGAAGATCCTCAAGGTTTAAGACTGCTGTGCTCTGTGTAGGAGGTATCTGATGAGTATAAAGGCAGTTTTACTTGCTGCTGCACCTTGCGGTGGTGCAGCAAATAAAAAACATGTATTTATTTGGAAGATTTTCTTCATTACTTTTATATCCTTTTCTGACGGCAGTTGTGTGGCCTCTTAAGTGTCTAAAGGTCCTAAGCAGAAGAATTTTTATCTGTCACATTCTTCTTTCTGTTCCCATTCTATTCTAATTTAGTTTTTATTTTAGACTTAGATCAGTGTTTCTCTATGACCTGCCTTTTCACTAGCTGTGGTTTAACTTACATTCAACTTGTAACAAACTTTCTAATCACAGAACATAGTTATCAGACGTATGTACTCTTTATCATACATTGTGCTGTATATTCAAGCTCCTAATAGTCTGCATTCTCTGTTATGGTTTTCAGCCCTGTCTTCACAAAAGATATTGGATGCATCTTGAAAAACACCTGCCTGCTAGTATTTGGGTTTGGTCGTTGGTCTGGGCGCCAAAGACACCTAGGCACTGAAGTCAAGCGTATCTCTCTTAGGCG